TAATTGCCGAACTTTTCTCTTTGTAATACAATAAAAATTTGAATCATTTTTATCTAAATTTTTTGTTTTATTTTGTTTTAGAAAACAAAGTTCTTGTTGAAAGACCCTTTATAACGTAAAACTTTTGTAAATATTTTAATAACAGATTACAAAAATTTTAAATTAATTTTGGAGCTGTAACAAGCAACGAATTAGTATATTCTTATTCATTAATGTTTATGTCCCTCAATTAATTTTGAATGGGAATGTTTGAAATTTGACCACCCAAATATATTGTCTAGTCGCTTAAACATATAAATAGCCGGTTTCCGCCGGTTTAATGAAAAAAAAGAAAAATCGTACTTTGTTGATATTTTGGTAAATATTTTAAATTTGAATAATAAGTTCTTTTTCACATAACTTTGTGGCCTTAAACAAATTAGAATACAGAAGCCTCCGTTCACAAGGTTTATAGTAAGAGATGATAAAAGAGGAAAAGATAGCTGTAACAAATAATAAAATTATACATATAAAAATAGTAAAACACTCCTTGCAAAAGTAAGCAATACCAAAAGGGCTTATATAACTGAATAATGAAACTGTATAAATAGTACTCGACGTGAAGTTTAGCAACAAGATAGTGAAGATGATATGTGATTTACGCACGAGGGCACGTCGAGAAGGTCGTTTCAAGAATTTTGATGGTAGTGACGACAGATCGAACAAACCTAGGAAACGTGAAGGAAAAGAGAATTCGAAAAAGGTCGAAAATTTAAAAACTAAGTGGCCAAAAAAGTATGATAAAAAGGTGGGGTGACGATGAAACATGAAGCATCGTCATTACTTATTAAACTTACCGTTGCCAATAGTCGTTCCAGTGGATGTCACGCGTCCTCCAAGCGGTTGACTCTATCCACCAAGTGGGCATTTATTGTCTGGCACTGGTACAACCCAACTACCTGCCGAAGACGCCTCTCGGAGGGATTCACCTGAGCGAATGCAAGCGCCGCTTCCTCGACGGCACCTTGCATCCAGCCAACGTGCTAATGTGCCCGCACACATGCGTCACCAACTTGCCTAAACCCAGGGAAATACACTCAGGTAGGAAATTTGCGTATATTTTAAATAAAATTAAATTAAAAACAACTTAAAACGTATATTCATCGTATGGGTTAGTATTATAAATAAATATCAAAACGTTTCATACCAAATAGCAAAAATTCGACTTAAGAACGTGAGTTATCCGTTAATTTAGTTAAACAAATATCCTTTTTTTATATAAAGCGTCAAGATTCTGTTATATAGATGTTGAGATAAGATGTTGTAATATATAACAATGCAACCCTAAACTGTGTTAACATCAATTTAAAACTAATTGAATTTTAAGCCTAATTTTATTTTTCATAGATTTTAGCTTTTAGAAGAATGCAGTTTTAATTTGTACAACATAAATTACTTATAATGATACAATGATTAAATTAATGATATTTATTTTGCAATTTAAGTATTTTCCTATAACGAGAATCGTAATATTTGTAGTCGAGTTATACTTACAATTAAATTATGTAATAAAATGGAATAAATGAAAGTTGTGACACGTGTAATATTGGCAGATGTGGGTCCGGCTTCGGTGATCGTGGGCAACTTGGTGCAGGGCAATAGGCTCGCGTCCGCACAAGGCCGCGACATGGGTTACTCTGACGACTCGGACGCTGCCAGGAAGGTACGTATTCAATATTATGAATGCCAATTGAATTAAAATATTTTATTATACTTTTGCATTTTTAAACTCTGTCTATATTTTTTTTCAGTATCAGTTCATATCTCAAATCCTGAGGTGGCGAGCTCAAAGCACATCAGACCACGTAATTTTCACATTGCTCAATTCAAAAGGAACTGTGTCCAAGTCGCTCACATGCGCAGACCTGCATAAGCGCGCTGAGCGCATCGGTAATTTGTTGTTGGAGAAAGGTCGCGTGAACACTGGCGACCACGTCGCACTCATCTTCCCTCCCGGCCTTGATCTCATCAGTGCCTTCTACGGCTGCTTGTACGTTGGCGCAGTGCCCGTCACGATCCGCCCTCCGCACCCCCAAAATCTCCACACAACTCTGCCAACAGTGCGCATGATTGTCGACGTCAGCAAAGCTACCCTAGTCCTCTCGAACCAATCTGTGATAAAACTGCTCCGTTCTAAGGAAGCTAGTAACGTCCTCGATAGTAAAGCGTGGCCACTCACCCTCGACACTGATGACATGCCCAAGAAGAAGCTCCCGATCTTGTACCGTGCCCCAACCGCCGAGATGCTGGCATACCTCGATTTCAGCGTGTCCACCACGGGCATGCTGGCCGGCATCAAGATGTCCCACGCCGCCGTCACCTCACTCTGCCGTTCCATGAAGATTGCTTGCGAACTCTACCCATCCAGGCATATTGCTCTTTGCCTCGATCCCTACTGCGGCCTCGGCTTCGCTCTTTGGTGCCTCAGCAGCATTTACTCCGGACATCACTCCATTCTGATACCACCTTCGGAGGTCGAAATCAATCCAGGTCTCTGGCTTAGCGCTGTGTCTCAATACAAAGTGCGCGACACATTCTGTTCTTATGGGGTCATGGAACTGTGTACCAAAGGTTTGGGTAGCTCGGTCAACACGCTCAAATCAAAAGGAATCAATTTGGCTTGTGTAAGGACATGCGTCGTTGTCGCCGAGGAGAGGCCCAGGATCAATCTGACGAATTCTTTCTCCAAGCTGTTCTCCGCTCTGGGGTTGAGCCCCAGAGCCGTGTCCACCTCTTTCGGCTGTCGAGTCAACATCGCCATTTGCCTGCAAGGCGCTTCTAGTCCCGAACCGTCAACCGTCTACGTTGATTTGAGAGCTCTGCGCAACGACCGCGTGTCCTTGGTAGAACGCGGCAGCCCACACTCGCTATGTTTGATGGAATCAGGGAAACTGCTTCCTGGGGTCAAAGTGATTACTGCCAACCCGGAGACAAAGGGCCAATGTGGCGATTCACACCTGGGCGAGATTTGGGTGCAGTCACCTCACAACGCAAGCGGGTACTTCACAATCTATGGCGATGAGAGCGATTATGCAGATCACTTCTGCGCTCAGCTAGTGACCGGCAACACGGGAGAGGTTTATGCGCGGACGGGGTATTTGGGCTTTTTGCGTCGCACTGAGATCAGCACGACAAACACTAGCGCTGGTGACGAGACCTCGCTGGTGGTGCGGGACAGCGACACGGAGTCCGTCGCTTCGGGCGGCGGCTGCGCGATGAGCGACGTACACGACACACACGACGCCGTGTTCGTGGTGGGCGCGCTGGACGAAACCATCATGCTCCGCGGCATGCGCTATCACCCCATCGACATTGAGAACTCCGTCATGAGGTGCCACAAAAAGATTGCTGAATGGTACGTGGTACAATCTCGACCTTTTGAGTCTTCCTTTATTTTTCATTTATTACCCTATACTCATTTATGTATACTTTGTTTCCAGCGCGGTGTTCACTTGGACGAACCTACTTGTGGTTGTAGTGGAGCTGGATGGCAACGACAGCGAGGCTCTGAACCTGGTGCCGCTGGTAACAAACACGGTGCTCGAGGAGCATCACCTCATTGTAGGGGTAGTGGTGGTGGTAGACCCTGGAGTGGTGCCGATCAACTCGCGTGGGGAGAAACAGCGCATGCATCTTCGCGATGGATTCCTGTCAGACCAGATCGATGCTATTTATATTGCATACAACATGTAAACACACATCTAGCGGCCATCACGTCAATCGGCAAATCTCTTCACCTGATTTCAAGTTCGTGGCTGTCGCAATCGCGTATTGTTTTCTGTAAGTCAGGCGCCGGGTCGTACGGTTATTGACATTTCGTAGAAAAATTATAACGATTGTGAGATGTCATGATGTTGCGGTATGGGCTAGTCGGTCCTTGAAGGCAGTCTTTCATTTGCAGTGTTGTGCTTTAAATGTCGTCCCACCATTGACTAGTCTGTCCGATGATGATGAAATTGGTTAGCTCCTTCAATTCTTAGAGCTCAGTTACAGTTTCTCTTTAAAATGTTTAGACTGTTTTTTGCAAAATGCACTTAACCCCCTAATATAAAAAGCAAACGCCAAATCATATTCGAATTGTAACGAAAGTGTCTAAGACTGTTCTTATTTCTAAGCGTAGAAGATGCTTTTTGCAACAATATCAGTGAAATTTTTCTCGTAACTGCCGATGAAACGAGAATTAGTGTAGACTCTACGTTTATTTCAGGTTTTTCGAGGCGTTTTGCCCTCTTTCTCTTAATCCGCCCTCTTTCTCTTCATATGTTGGAGGCCAATAACACATTCACCCACGAAGTAGATCCCTTTATGTTAGGATGTTAAGTAGAAAGTTTATAGTTAAAACCTTGTATTTTATCAGTTTACACAATTATAATTGTTGTGATTATTATTCAATCAAATAATTTCTAATGTAGTTCGTATGTCAATGTATTACAATCGTAATTATTATTCTTAGTATGTATTAGTGATTATTCCTATGAATAATTTAAAATTGTACTGCATTTAATGTTAGTTTTGAAGTTCTGTTCTGTTTTGTAGTCGGACAATAAGTTCTTGCAAATTCTCAAAAGTATTGTGCACTTTCAGCCTCAATTTAAAGCGAAAACACGTACAATTCTGTGTTTGGAATATAAACGCGTATTCTTATAAGTGGAGACCTCTATGCTAGAGTGGCAAAATGTTGCACGTGTTGAAATCTTAAACAACTGTGTTTTTATACTGATTATTTTGAAAAAAGGATTCTTCACCATTTTAACCTTTTCCTGTTCGTCCTAATTGTTTCCTCGCGCGGAATTTCCGCGTGCATATCGAGAGTACCAAAGGTTTTCATCACATCGCCCTTATTGGCAAAAAATTGTCTTCGTAAATGACACTTCACTGAAGTGCCAGAGGAATGATGTATTATGGTAAATATAATGAAATGTGTGAGATGAATGATTGGTAAATTTCCGAATGTAGAAAGCGGAAGTTGTAAGTATGCGAAGATTGTGGCAAGTTACGTAATTGTTATATTGTAAATTAGGAAGGATATAATTTTTGTCAATGTATAGTTTTTGAAATACACAGAACTAAGGCTTATCACTCATACGCTAATAAAAAGGGCACACAAATCGCTGTGAGTTAAATCAAAGCACGATTTCTGACTGGTTACTTTTGTCACATGAAACTTACTTCATTGTGTCGTCTCTGATTAGACTATGGATGGTAGCCCTCAACATGTCGGATTTCTCTAAATTCCATGATGAAACTCATAAAAGTCAAGGTCAATGTAATTTCGTTAGAATAAGGTGTTCAAAAAGTAATTAGTTAGTATAGTTTTATTTTTTGTACACTTTTTCTTAAGTGAAATTTTACCCGACAGGAGAAATTTTAAATTAAAGTAAGTGTTCGAAGGCACGGCAACCATTTTAGACTTGTTGAATTAATTTTGGAATTGTGTATAAAAGAATCGTCGTTTGTAAGAATGCAAAATGTAATCTTGTGTATAGGAAAACATCTACAGACTCTTAAGTCCCGCTAGATTGTCCCGCTAGTGGGCTAGGACAATATGGGTCCGCAGAACAATATGTCATGGAAGATTATGCGTATTTAATAATTTGCGCAAAATTGTAGCCATAATCTACACCATACAGCAATAATATAAATACCGCCATAAACGTTGCAACAGTCGTACGGACTAAGTCCCCACGACACAACTTGCTTGTGCGACCGAACTGGGGCGGTCCGTGCTACTATCCTATCGTTAATGGCTTGCTTTTAGTTGATATTTAAATTATGGTTGACTCCTGTTTCACGTAAATTTGTTTAAATTTGAAATTATGTTTTGAAACAAATGCTCAAAATGTTAAACGAAAATTGTTAAAAAAGCGTCGTGTCACTTTTTTGAAAAATATTCCATTACTATTTTTTTTTAATAATTAAAATTGTGGTGAACGCAGAAGTCAACCTTGACATTATGTTTTTTTTTATTTACTTGACCGCCTAGGTAATTCTTAAAAGCGTAACAGACGACAGATTCAATATGATCTTCTCTTGTTACGATTTGTCATGCATTGATCCAATATTGTAGAACATGCTACAGTACCGTTCACACTATAATGCGCAGACCGTATCCTAACATCTGTTGTGCTTTTTAGAATTTTTTACCTGGTGAAAAATTGTTTTATTAATAAATGTTGAAGCTCGTCTGCTATTTCAATCAGATGACATGTAGTTCATCACAAACTGGTTTCTATAATTGTCAAAGCAATGCCAAGTTGTAGGTTGAACCAGTGCGGCACTAGCCGAGTAATAAAAAAGGGTATTCTTTACTTCTTGTTGCCTTAATTACAACCAATTTATGTTGAGCGGACACGTCGCAACGTTTGATGTATCGGACGATCTTTAATAAATTGAGATATTTCTTGGTAACTCTTATGTGTGCATTGAACAAATTAATACTATTTTGTTTTATAAATAATTTGTTATAATTCAGTGAATTTTTCTTTGCCATTCCATATGTTTTGAACGAAAAAAAAAGTGTTTATATAATTATTTGAACTGAATAACATAATTTTTATTTTCAATTTATTGCTACTAGATGTATCTTATTTACTATTATTCCTTATTTGTAATTATTTATGGCTAAATTGTAAATATTTTTGTTATTTAATTTTGTTAAAATGATTTCGGTATATTAGATTTAAATAATATGTTTATTGATTTTTTAGGTCAGCGAATTTATATGAATTCCTAGATTTATGTCTTCGTATACATATTTAGTCATTTAAACTTTAAGTGGTAGATAACAATGTTAAATGTATACTTCGATGTAAAATGTTCTATCTTGCATAATGTATTCAGTCTCCTTTGACATCTTTGCGAAACTAATCTCCAACATGTTTTAAAAGGATGTAACAATGGTCTAGAATAAAACAAAAATTTTTGTTGTGTGACTAATGTAGAACAAAATTTCAAATCTAACGAGCCATGCATTGTAAACCCTACTTAAACAATAATTGCTTTTTTGTCATAATATGATGAACGGGACAATACCTTTTGCAGTTTTGAATTAAGTTAGATTTCATTTATATAACTGACAAAAATTATATTAACAGTGGACGCAGCGTGGGCAGCCCAAACAACCACGCTGCTACCGGAAGACAGACCGACGACTTGGTGAATGTTGAATACAAGCAGTGCAACACACTGGTGTTGTCTGGTAGTCTATGAGGGAGACCCAATTCTTGCAGTGGACAGTTTTCCGCGTATATGATGCCTTAAGGTGTGTTGGACCCACTGCTTGGTCCCACTAGTAGGTTTAGTAGAATTTTCAACTTAGATGGTGGAACCAACGATCTTACATAAACAATAAAATCTAACGAATCAACAACAAATCAAATACAACCATGTGTAACATTATTTAGTCTTTTTGAAATTAGACAAGAAAAAGCGCATAAACATTTAAAAGAAACAGTATACCTTATGACCTTGTCAATAGATCGCAAATCTAGTTGTGACCTTAAAATTATTAAAGCAATTGGTTTCGCAAAGGAGTCTAGAGGCTTAGCACGGTAAACACTTCAATATAGCGTAAGAATGTTCACGTATAATTTTATTGTACCGCACATTAGCACCGGGATAGCGAAACTCGGTTTTTTGACCCAACTATACTTTTTATTAAAATATAATTTATGTACACGCACAAAAATTCGAACTTTTGGCCATAATAATGTATTTTGTTCAATTAAACATTTGAAGAATGGAAATTCTTTTCGAATTTTTGTACTCGCCTCGCCAAAGAATCCGCTGGGACTTTGTATCTGCTTTTAACATTTGTGATTATTTCTGAGACATAAATAAAGAATAATGCATTATTATTTTTTTACTAATCGTTAGTGGAAAAGTCTAAAGAGCCATCTTGAGCGAAAGTGAGTATTATTTATTATCATTGTTTGGTTTACTCCAGAGTGCCCATAGTCGAGTTATAGAAATTTACAGCTTCAATATTTTGAACTTTGTTGGTACCAATCATAGATTTAGTATATAGGTACCTACCAAATGCCTACCAATGATATTATATACTTTGGTAAATACCTTTTTGTCATATGTACACGGCCAGGCAACATAAACCAAAAAGTACTACCAAAATTTTCAAACCAGGTTTGTTAAGTGAACGTATTGTCCGATAAACCCTTAGAAAGTGGAAAAAAGTCTAAGGACAAGCCGCAGAAACTATGTCGCACCACTCATAAAGTACACCATTGGCGTCCTCTATTACAGCGTGACCAAAGACTACGTTTTAGTACCAGCTACTATGTACAGTGCATACATAGACGTCCTTGATTATCGTTGCACTAAAAAAAGTGATCTAGTCATACCGTTTTGTAGTTATAACGATGTTTACTGTCTACGCTGAAATAAGCTTTTTCCGGCGGCAACTTTTTCGAATCTCTGAAAACAGTTCCTTACTGCACCTGAATGATCTCATATTACATCCCCATTTTAGAATTAATGATGAATCATCGGAACAATAACGTGATATGTAATCCTTTGATTACCATCACAAATGCCAAACATATCACTTCCTACCACTGCCACTGGATGTGCGCAGGACTTTAAGTAACACGCGCCATTTAAGCAATATTGTCAATGGGTCAATTGACTGTCCTGAACTACTGTCCATAATTTGTTTACGTAAGTATACGGATCAACTAGGATTTTGGCAAGGTTTACGCGTAGTTAGTGAGAATTAATACGAATCTTATGGAGATCTAATTTGCACCAGTAATGGTAGCTAAGTAGTTTGTATACGAACTCGTAAAGTCTACCATACTTTATAAGTATTATTTAGCGAATAAACATTGCAATGTGAGCCGTGAACCATGAGGGCCGCCTCAAATTGCTTCAGCCAGGAGACGATGGGCAATGCAGCATAAAGTTTACCTTCTACAAGGTGAGGTTACATTTTCTTGACAACAATGAAAAAGACGACACAGCAAAGGCGGCTCCGCGCTGCGCAGCGATAAATAATATAATATAGCACGTATTATTCTCTATCTAATAAAGTATAAAATTCTTTGAATGCAAAATAGCGTAAGAGTAAAGCCGCGCAGCGCATTGTGTTGTCGTCCCCATGCGACGTGACGTCGCCATGTTGGCAGCTTCTATCAGGCAATGCAAATTGTAACTTAGAGCGGTTGCACACGTCGGCTTTTAGCAGCGATTCAAAGGCGCGCTTTAGCATACCCATGAAAATTTGTTGAAAGAAATTTGCGCACAGAACCAGATGACTATAATGGAATCTAGCAATGTGTTTTCTTCTTCTTTTAAATGTTACGGCCCCATCGAAATAATCATTTCGGCAATGTCGAGTTGGAACGCATAGGCGTCAACTGAAATTTTGTTTGACAAACATGCCACCATGCCTTCAAACATGTTTGTCAAACACGCCACCGTCAATCTAGATTTCCATCAAACGTGTAGATTATTTAACAAACGCGACCGCAGACGATCAAAATGTTTGACAAATACTTAAAATTTTAGAAATTATTTGATCGTTTACGGGACGCTTTATGTTGAATCATTAAAAAGGTGTATCGCGACTGAATCGCTGCAGACAAGACGTTAAAAGTTGCCGTGTGTAACGGCTCTTAAGCAGCGATACAATCGCGATGCAAACGCGACACAATCGCGCTGCGGTCGCAGCTGCAGTGATACGAACGCGATGCAAACGCCACATGATCGCTTATAAATCGCTAATGTCGCGATGCAATCGCACGTTTCGCAAACGCGCCTTTGTGTCACTGCTAAAAATCGGCGTGTGTAACCACTCTTAGCGTCTCAACCAGACTTAAAGGTACGAGCTTGGTAGGTATTTAAAAAAAAAAAAAAAAAAAAAAAGGTATTTTGTATTGAAAGAAATATTAATATTAATATTAATATTAAGTTATATGTAGATCATAAGAATTACCATATTTGTTATACCCTTACTGGGTGCATGTAACATTTTGAATGTAACGTGTATATGCAAATAAATAAATTAAATTAAATTAATCGAATCGAAAATACGTAACGTCATCTTAAATGTCAACCGTGTCCATTTCGCAGTACATGATTCCGTTGTCAAAGGGAAGTACATCAAATGTCAAAACAAATGTTTTTCCAAATGTACTATTGAATTATTCGCATGTATTATAATTAAATTGGACAAAAATATTGATAGTGAGTCATTGACTTTTGTAAGTCAATGTAGTGAGTATAATAAGTTATTAATAAAAATGCGCAACGCTGCAGCATTAAGGGATGCGGCTTTAGAAAAAGTGCAAATCAATCGAATGTTACATTGCACAGGCATGTGTTATTTTTTTGTCATTTCATGCAATTAGACTTATTTAAGTACTTTTATAAATCTTGCCAAATTTTGCTTTTGTTACTTTAGATTGCCTGTTTGTTTGTATATTTTGATGATTGTTGTTAACGATTATTTTGAGATAGTGTTGATCTTGTAAGCATACATTTTGTCGATATTCTGTTATTAAAACAATTCACTACGAGGTTTTTATTGTTTTAATTGATTTTTACAACTACTTCCATTATTTCTGTGTTAAAATTGCTTGATAGAGTCATTTGCTTAAGAAAGCCCGGGAATTAACGTGAATACTAGAATCCGCAGAAACCTGAATAGACTTTTGCTTGACAGTTAGTTAAAAGACGTTATGTAAATATGTACTAAAATGTAGGTTAAAGGCGTACCTCTCAAAGTAATTTTTATATTTTATTTAGTAAGTACGATTAATACTATGTAATGTTATATACCAGTAAAGTAGGTATATTTAAGTAAGAATGTGCATGTCGCCAAGAAACTGCACAGCAGTTTGGTGACTTTTACTAAATAAGTTATCAGTTGTAATCTTGAAAATAAATTTAAAATTGTTTAAAAAAGTTTAAAAATGTGTGTTGACATTTACAATAATATACCACTCGAGATTAAATTATTACACTTGTGTTTGTTTAGGCATACTTTGGTTGCAGTAAATTAAAGATACAAAAAAAAAACAGTTTCAACATTCAAGACATACTATTTGCACCTCGTGATAATGACTTATCGATAGATTATGGTACAACACTAAAGAAATCCGCCATTTGTAACTTTCAAATTTTTGAAATTTGTGATTCTGTAGTTAGGGAAGCTCCTTTTTTTTCCATCCTCGAAGTTAAAATTAAAGCGACTATATAGTTTCTTTGTTCTAAATATTTCAATCGCTTGTGTGTTCGAACAATTGAAAATGACCAAAAAGTTTATATAAGCTTCTTGAAAGTGACGTAATGGGTCTCTTCCAGCTTTTGCGCATGCAATGTGTAGAAAAATGACAGTTAGCTATTTGATTATTTTGTGTGCTTTTGTAATTTATATTTACGATTCATTTATATAAAATACGATAAAACTGTACAAAATAACACTTTTAAATGATAACTATGATAACACAATATATTTGTTTAGTGAAAATATGATACAAAATCCTGTTTTTACACTTTACTGCGGTAATTTTTACAAGTTATTATTATATGGTACTGCATGATTGACAACCGCGCTGTCACTCGAACAAATGAAGACTGTTGCGCGATTGACGCTCTGTATGCGATTTTAACGCCGTATAGGTGCGGACACTTTTTAGCGCGAACCCGACGTCCATTTATTGGTAGGTCAATGTATGTACCTATATCATTGACCTACGTCAATGACCTATATAAATAGTTTTCATTTGAACTACGAGTAAACGAAACGAAATTCGACCACTTTATTTTTGAAGTTCGTTGCATGATATTTATTAGTTGCTTTGTTTGCAAAATGATAAAACGAATTGACGCCTGATAAAATATCCCAAATGTCCTTTTGTGTCATGCTAAAAAAATTAAGGTGTAAACGAAGCGGTGACGGTTTGCTCCTTTTGTTTTTTCCGTCCAAATCGAAATTCATAATTGACTAAATACCAAGACATAAACTAGGTCACATTTCCCGTGTCCGGCAAAAATAAATTGATAAATGTGTAAATTGTAAATGCTATACCTACATTGAGGTATAGGTCAATAATGCTATATTTCTTTTTTTTGCAGAAAAACCTTTACAGAGGTAATAACAGTAATTTTATGGCAACATTGAGACATAATACAGTAGGTTTCGTTACGACAAATGGCAATATAGTCACCGTATACGTCATTTGCAATGCATATTGATCGCTTGCTGCGTTAGTATCACAGTATTTTTATTTACTTAAAATAAAACAATATTAATAAATGGTACGTGTTAAAATATTATTTTTTTGCTGCAATCGTTGCTTTGTAAATGGTAAAAGAAATTTAGTTTACGTATCCGAGTAAAGATAATGATTAACAGTAACCGGGTCAGTATAATTAAGGAGCGTATATTCATTGCGCATAGTGAGTCACTTTTGTTTGTGGAGAGCGATCATAATGTTATCGTTGTTCGTGAAATAGTTGCTTAGTGATAGTGAGTTCTGTCGGGCTGGGGTAGAGTACAAACTAGCTAGAAATCCAAACCGATGGATTCGCCACCCGTGCCCAAACCGAGAAGCGCTTTCCTGGCCCAGAACGATCCCCTGAAACGACCCGTGCCACTGCCCCGAACAAAGGTGCCCCCCAGCAACGAGCGCGTCACTGCCTCAGACATACTACGCTCGATCAGCACTGTCTCCAAACAAATAACAGAGGATGTCACGATAAAGGTTACCAACTCTGCGAAATCTGCTAACGAAAAATTTGAAAACGCATTAATAGATGGCTCGAGGTTCGCTAAAGGCACGCTCGAGAAAACTTTAACAACTTCTAGAGCTGTAAGAGATTCAGTGACAAAATCGGTTATAGAAGGAACCAGGACAGCAGGACTTAAGTTGCGACGAGCGAAGAAAACGGACTTCGCGGAGAGCGTTGACAACCAACGGTGCACATCGATGCCGATTGTAGATGTTAGTTTGTTTGATAACATTCAGTTCCACTCCCCACTTTTGGAGCAAAAGAGATATTGTAACAATGGAGATAGTTTACAAAACAATCAAGACATTCCCCCTCTCAGTTTGAACACAGCTCATTTTGATGACTTGTCATTGTTCTCGAGCAACTCTGATTCTAACACAGATACAGTAAGTAACTTCTCATATGACAGTAGAGAATCTGACCCAAACAATTCAAGCTTGACAATAAATGAGCAAATGACATATGATACACCTAGAACATCACAGGCCAACAGTATCATTAGTGTGAGATCTGCGCCAGAAGTGCCAGTGAGGAGGAAAAAGAGGGAAAGCAACATGGAGTATATAAGGCAGAATTCCTTATATGAAAACTGGATTATACCATGCCAATCCAGTAACACAAATGGTAGACCCAGTAAGAGCACTATTTATGAGTTTGACCCTTTAAACTCAAGTTCTAATTCAACCAGATATGAGGGTATGAGCAATGAACTGTTGCTTCTAGAATCATTTTTGATTGGGGACACATATGGAACCATTGTGACGACTGATAACAATGAAGACAACTTTGAGGACTATGGCGAAGTCGATTACTACAATCCTCCAACTCCTCCAGAAAGGTCTGATAGTTTATTCCCTGTGGAGGTTGAGACAAAAACTTCAACAGAGCAAGTGACTGACAAGGATAGAAATTCAAATTGGTTCATAACTGACATTGATACAAAACCTGTAGCTTCAATAGAAGATGAGACAAAAGTAACAAATTCCATGAAGCAAAAGTTTTCCCACATGAAATTGAAACTTGACAATGTTCTGCATAAATCCAGTAAACAAAATCCAATGCTGAAGGTTAATGTTGTGGAAAGACCTCCTTTAAGCACCTTGCCAGTTAACTACTACAGTGGTTTGTTAACCAAAATTGTTTCTGGGGTAGTTGAAGACTTGTTCAAGAACTCTCAGTCCCGGTACTGTGTGCTGTCTGATCAGAAGCTAATGTGCTACACTGACCCAACCAATTCTGTGTTGAAAGAAGCATACCCATTGGAGAGCATTTACTCTTTGCAAATTGTACTACCACTCTCGTCCAGGTAAGTGATGTTTGTTAAGTCTACCCTCATAGTACGTTAACCCTCGAGCTTGGGGATGCTCAAGGGTTATTATTATTACTTAACTAATAGCTCTATGAGCTGATGCATGTATATCACTGCACTTGTATATTGTTGGTTTTCATAATGTTTATCTAGTCTAGCTTTGTAATAATTCAGTTACGGAGCACTAATTACTGTTTCTGGGAGCAAATTCTACATGTTCATAACATGAAGTGGCAAGAAGTGTTTTCTTGAGTGGCTAGCACATGGAGGCTTCGTTCGCTTCAGAGAGTGACCTCTCAATTGGCAGTTGGGATTCATAAGATGCATATCATTCACATTATGCTCATTGTAGTGCCCATTGAGTAGTTTGTAAGTCTCTTTAAGATCTTCTCGTTTCCTTTGTTGTGCCAAAGTAGAGAATTTTAGTCCCCCCCGGGGAATATATAATGTCAAAAAAATAATCTAAAAAAAATTATATATTCCGATTTGAATAATACATTGTATACTTCTGAATGTAAAGCTAACATAAGTGGTACTGCATTGAAAAAGTGAACATTGATATTGTTTGAAATACACTACAAACAATATCCTAAAATGAGTACCCTTAAATCTTATTAAAATAATCTTATCAAACCGAAGCTGTCACCATATATTCAAACTTAATACTGTAAAAATAAAGCACTTAAAGATTCACTTGGTGGACACATTCAATTTGTCTATGCTTTTTTTGAGATGGGATGATTGTACAGATGGAGTCTCCATTGTAATTGCTTCCTTTCTATGCAGCACGACGAATAATTCATACTGCTTCGAGCTGTCGGTATCGTCAGGCAACCGTAACGCACGCAAAATCCTTCTGAGCTGCGGAAGCAGTTCCGAACGCCGTAACTGGGCCCAGAAGTTCGCAGAGCACCTTACCTGCGGATTTCCCACCAAGTTCACTTCAGAGTTTACCAGGATTGGATGGTGCTACTTGAAGGTAGGCAATCTACTCTATTTTTTGAAAACGTGGCTATTCTGTACTGCGAGAGCTTAGTTCGCCATTGTCCACAGTGGCCTATGACATTCTTCTTTTCTTCGAAAGCTCATATAGTCGACGATAAGAAAAACTATTTATCATTTCAGATTCAATGTGCAAGTTTTATATTAAGTGTAATTGACTATATGGCCCATACCCAGCAGTGGACGAAGATAAAGGGCTAGCGGTAAAGGGCTCTGTCGCGATATGAGTCGGACATCTTTAGGCATTCCAAGTACTATAGGAAAATCTTTGTCATTGAATTAAGTTTCTTGACAAGAAAATGTTTTTCTTCTTGCTATAAGTTTTGACTTCATATGTCTGATATTACATTTTCAAACAGGCATCTGGATTTTGACGTCGCATACATGACAGGCTAAATATTTTTATAGTACGATTCATCAATGTAGCCATGGTTTAGTCTAGTTGACTTCCGGTTAGTTTATCTCTGGTGTAAATGAGTTAAAGTTAACTCCATTGGTAAGTGGACAATTGAGTGTCTATTATGTTATCACAGGGTATTGGGCAATGGGAAGTGTTGAATGTTGATGACGATAACTAAAGTATGAATGCGTTGTACCACTTAGTATCTTAACCTTCATTGATTAGTAAACATTGGAAATGAAACTATTTTTAAATATAAATCGCATATATTTGTGTTTATCCATTTTGAAACGTAATGCTTTGTATTAATATTAAACATAACTGTTTGATGACTAATACCATCTTAGTCAGCCGTATCTACAGGGCATGTAGAGCCCGAAACGTTGGTTTGTTCGAAAAAATAAATATTCGTGAAGTTAGAGCCGATAAAGTGGTTACATTTCCAACTAAGAACTCGTTATGATTAGTAAACATTAAAATACATACCTACAGAAACATTGTTGAGTAATGTCCGCTAGCTGAAATATGATGATGAAAATACATTTTATTTTTAACCGCCTTTAAAAAAGGAGGAGGTTTTCTATTCGACTGTATTTTTTTTGTACGTGTGTTACGCGATAACTTGTGAACCGATTTCGATGATTCTGTTTTTGTTGAGAAGAGGGGATCTCAGTATTGGTCCTATTTAAATTTGAAGAAAATATTCCACCTCTAAGGGTGGCAAACTGGGGGATTGGTCCGGTTTCGTGCACTTTCCGGTAACCGATTTCAACAAAACTTGGCAAATAGAGGTAATACCACGGACTTCTCACGGACCGTGAGATTATTCTGAAAACGGGTAGGAAATCTATTAGTATATACTGATATTATAGCTCTGTAACTTGACCGTGTATATACATTCTATTGTTTGTGTTCTCATTAACCTTCCTTGTATTATTTATGCTTTATCCTGTAACTTGTTTGTGTATTTTGAGAATTGCCATATTTGATATTTTCTTTGAGGTTTTCTCTGGGTACGTCATTTCGGTTGACTATTTGACCCTAGTTGCCAAGGAAATTATGCTACGGGAATAATGCCAGAACGAGGAGGTCCTGCTCTGCGACTGTAGGTACAGGCTTATTAAAAACAATTGAACCACTAGGTAACAAATGACTAAGGGTTTGTGATTGGTTACTTCTGGCTTGAGTGTTGTTACTTGTAATGTAAACAAAAGACAATACAATTGCATTGAATAATTTTCTTGTATTGGAGACGCGTTATAATAATGCACCAATATAAGAAACCTAATAATGATATTAGGTTTTTCAAACACGGCGTATAGATGCGTTTTGTTGGCGTGGAGGGTGGCTAGGCGTTGATTGTATCAGCACTTCATGTTTGCATTCCACATTCCATTTAATATCACGTGGAGTGGAGTCGTCTGCCTGTCACGTATTAAAAAGAAAGAAGAAAAAGACACCGAAACACAGTTCCTCAATTCGCAATATACTCAAATATGGCGAATAATGACAAAGAGACACTCATCGACACGAATCGCATTAAGCCTTCCGCTCGGACCGCCTACGCGAAACGCACGTCTTTTTCGCTCTTATTGCAAGGACATAAAACTTTTATCAAACCAGCTCAAGCCAATTCCTTGAGTCCCTTATTGTACGAGTGTTCAATAGTTACTAGTTAGACATGTACGATAGACAGATAGAAATTTAGCACTTCAAAACGGGAATAAACGCGAGATTAGTTTAATAGGTACATGCAAATGCACACATACCCATTATCCCGACGACGTGCCGGCTATGTTGCACGGGCCATAATCACGGTCAGACCAAAAATGTATATGTTACGAAATTAGGCTAGCGGATAAGCTCATTTTAGCAATTTTATACTTTTGTTTTTACTGCATTTTAGCCTTATTTAATCTTTTAAAAATATTTAACAAATAACGGAATGCAGTTGAGCTGTGTTGACGGAGTTGAAAACTTGAACAACCATTTTGTGTTTTCTTTATAAATAGAGATGACGGTAATTAAATAATTGCGATCGTGAATTCTATTATTGAAATTAGTATCCCAGTATTCGGAAGGCGAACTCTCACGATCTGTGATTTTACCGATTCCACCTCGCACGAATTCGCGCCAACGCACCATAGGTAGAGGCTCGTCTGTTGCGACCCAGACGCGTCCGAAGCCGTGCATGGATTATATCCTTAGCAAAAAGAGGATGGAGCAGGTGCCCTTCGAAGTGTTGTTATTCTGTAATTAGTTAATTTTTATAGTAGTATGCTGTAGAATGCTGTTGGTTTACGTTAGTGCCGTACGAAGTCGTCACCATGCGTAGTATAATAGGAGAAATATGGTAACTTCATGCAAACGTAGCAGCGTGTCTTGTATGTGTGCACGCCCGCCCGCCACACGCCGTGTCCGGACGCACACATTCGCGTCATCTCACGGTGTACTCTCGTTGCAAAGCGCGTGTCGTCTCACGCGTCATTAAATATTATTGAAGTGGTCACTCGGTGTTTAAAAAATGATATCAAATAGTACACGTGTTTATTGTTTTGTTTGTGGTAGTTTGAACGAGAGTGCCAGAATTGTTCAGCATTTTGTTTCCATTTCATAATCATACTTCATAATCAAGATAACAATCCGCAATGTTGGTATAAAATATCAAAATGTACTCATTGCAATACTCACTGCATTTAACAGAGAATAACACGAGAATACTGTGATGAATGCCTTCATTTTTGTGATGAACATCTTCACCAATTATGTTTACATCCTGTAGATACAACTAAAATAATAATGTAACAACCCTACGCTCGTAGAGGCATTTACGCGCCGTCGCTGTCGTTCGCCACCGGGGCATGTTTACCTTTGAAATAACTTGATTGTTGTCAAACTTTTCTCGGCTTCATAAGAACATATTATTATTGTTTTCGGTTCAATACGTACTAGCAACCACAAATAGCAATTACAAGACAACTAACTAACAAGAATAACATTTAAAACCTTTAAATTTGTCGATATATATACATCCGGTAGTCGACTTAGCGAAAACAGGTAAACACGTGTGATATTTGACAACCTTGGTGGCCTAACGGTTTGTACTATGACCGCTAGATGTGGTGGTCAAGGGTTCGATTCACGGTAGGACCAATTTATGGTCGTTTGACACATTATTACTATTATGTTTTTCTTTTCTCAGCCTGTTGGCTGGCTTTAACTATATACGTTTACGGACCGAAATCAAGTAATTGCACTATGGTGTATATCTATGTTTAGGGTGTGTTGTGTTAACAGCCTATTTTGTCTTCTATCAGCATGAACTGTGGCTGTATTTTAAGCTATTAATCGCTAGAAGTTGTTTGCGTTAATTTATAAATGATTACAAATCGGAATGCGATTCATTTCCTTTGTTTCATCGTAGTTTGTGTCATCCTACACAATCTTGCTCTAGTCTCGCACAGCTACATCGACATTGTTGAAGTCGTTCCTTTCTTTAATCATTAACTAAAAAGGAAGAGACCTGGAGGCTCGTGTTATCGAGTTTAATCAAATAGTTTAAAATCTCGTAATGTATATTATTAAAATGTGTTGGTTCTTCTACTATTTACACATTGTGTTAGTGTCTTAAGTTTTCGCTAAAGTCTGCCTGTCGCAGACACTTGGTTATTACCAACGTTCGTCTGTTTAACTGCCTCGGTGGACGAACGATTACCGTCCTGGTCTGCCATGCAGATGAGAGGTTCGTTTCCTGAGTCGGGAGAAATATTTGTATGGCCTACAGTTATTTCTCTCCTGAGTTAAGGTGTAATTTATGATTGTCTATGTGTGTATCCATGGCACCCGCGATACAGGGTTTCCCTAGAACGGTGCAATGAGTGAGTGCGTTATTATTATTATTGTTATGTTTGATCCGTTTTTATCGATATTTCGACGGCTAAGTCCGTAGTCGTGTATAGCAGCCATATAGCAGTCGGGAAGGTTTGCAAGCAATCGGCAATCGCTGCATTCCAATTATTATTTTGCACTTGCCCTAAGAATGCAGCTCGTATGACTTATATACTATACATAGCATAATACTAGCTATTAACAACGAATCTATTGAAATCGCTAGGCTTGTCCTTAATTTGTTATAAAACACATCCCTCCGCACCCCGCGCCTTTGCATCTCGTCCTGAACTGGCCGTCGATAACCTTGACGCATAGCATTTGCACGACTGCATACCGACAGGCCGACTGCCTGATTTTAAAAACATTATTCAGTAAGGTACTTGTACATTTAATCTTTACTTCGATGGATTAGAAGCCAAATGGCGTAATATTGTCGGTCAACAAGCGTTGTACAATCAGCCTCAATATCATCTGGACGGTTAAAGTAACCAAATTGGCCAAAGCTACGTGCCGTTTAGAAAATGCAATAACCATATGTCATAGTGGTGAACATGAATTGAAAAACACACCTTGAATATTTTGAGCGTATGCATACATTAATCTATCTTATATGCATTGATCTCAAAGGTGGTCAACTTTATCTATACGCTCCCTATTGTGTAAATACTACACCATAGAGATTTACC